TTTTGATAGCAAATGTCAAAGTGGTGTTTTAAAATTTCTGTTTCTATATGTGTTAGCTTTGGTGTGGTTTTTATACTATCTGTCTGTAAAGATGATATGGTTTTGGCTTTTGTTTTTGGATATGTATTTAAATACATTTAATATTGCTGTTAATTCTGCCGTGTTTATTGATGCTTTCTCTGGTAACTAGAATTTGTCTGAATATTTGGCATTCGATTCATATAATGCGCAGCCTGCTTTTAGATATGTTTTTGAGCCTTAATATATAACGATATCAATGCCATTTCGAGTTTATAGTGTCAATAAAGTTTTCTTTTGCGTTAATCTGGTAAGTCTGTATTTTATTGGAAAGAAGGACATGTAGATCTTCTGAATAATAAGGAAGTGTACTGTTGGAATAAATACAACTTCTAAAGTGTAACCTTATACAAGGTGTAACCTTATACAAATAGAGAAGTCGTTTTAGCTCGCCAATATGGATAAGTTAGGGTTTATATTAAAAGGTTATGAATGGAGTTCAGTAGGTTGCGTTTCTTAAAGTTGCTTTGGCTAGAAGTTTGTAGCCTATGTATTCTCTTCTGAGTTGTAGTGATGATACAATATCTTCGGCTTCCATGATGTTTATTGGAGTAGATTTAAGATATCCTAGGCTTATTCTGAGGCATTAATTTTTTTGCGATTCAACTTTTTTAGGTGTACATTGGCTGCAAAACCATATAAATGACTGCTGTAGTCTGCTTCTTACCATAGTTTTATAGAACATTAAGGCTATATTCGGATCTGCTCTCCTCTTAGTTCGTTAAAATGCTCTTAAGATGTTTATTGCGTTTTCTGATTTCTTTATAGTTTGGTGGATAGTATCCTTTCACAATAATTTCCTATCAAAAAATAGTCGAGGTAAAATGTCACAGTACCTTTCCGGGGAGCCTTTCGAACGAATCGCCATAGATATTTTAATACCGTTTTTCTTGACAGAAAGGGGAACAAATACTTGTGGCCCGAAATAGCGCCCATTCCTAATTAGGAAGCGACGACAGTAGCAGAAGCAACGACAGTAGCAGAAGCAACGACAGTAGCAGAAGCGTCGAAAGTAACAGAAGCGTCTATGACAAACGTCATAGCGAGACATAGGGTCCCTCTGAAATTGCATTCTGACCAAGTACGAAATTTTGAATCCAAATTATGGCAAGAATTGATGAAACAGGCATCAGAAAAACACGCACTACGCCTCTCCGCCCACAGTCCGACGGAATGGTAGAATGACACAATAGAACCATATGTCAGTATCTTTCCATGTTCGCCTCTGAAAATCAAAAGGATTGGGACACTTTAATTCCTCTATTCCTGCTAGCCTACCGAAGTTCTGAACATGAATCGACCAGTTATACTCCATCTATGATGATAACTGTAAGGGAGATTAAGCTTTTTCATGATCTTCTATTTGAAAGGCCGTCTCCTGGTGAAGAAAAGGGGCATTAAGTTGTACACCAAACACTAGTCATGCTGAGCAAATTAGTCTTGTTCTAAGGTATGTTGTCCTTCAAAAAAAGGGGCCATACACCTCCTACATATATAGAGAACTCAAGAGAGAGACTCGAAAAGGTATACGAATTCGCTCGGCAACGTTTAAAAGTCAATAGCGATAAAGCAAAAGCTAGAATCGACATGCATACCACAGAGACACATTTTTAGAGAGGCGATCCAGTATCGCTGTACGTCGAAAAGGACTTTGTCAGAAACTGAAACAGAACTGGAAAGGCCCCTACATCGTCCTTAAGAAAATTAACGACCTGATCTACCGCATTTATTTGTCAGCGGGAAGAAAACCCAAGGTAGTTCACATTGAAAAGTTATCGCCATACCGTGGTCCAGATCCTCCCCGTTGGCTCCAACCAGATCACAATAATCAAGTAATTCTGAACGAATAATTAGAGAAGAGGAAGAAATGTTACCCTGCATCCTGCAGTAGCCTGCGGCCGTTACAGGAAACGTACAAATACAAAAAGAAGTACACTACAGTGTGCTGCGGTCGTCATAAGTAAAAGTACGAGTAAAAGAAGAGGGAAGAATAGTCCAAAAATGTCTCGAAATGTCATTTCTTGTTAAGAAAAGTCGGGATTGTTCGAGAAAATTCTAGAAAATTAAGGTGAGCTATTTAAGTCGACAATCGTGATGTCAGAGTTCAGTTTTAAGATAGACGTTTACGTTAATGTTTTCAGTTGGACAGTTAAATTATTGAAAATGTTGAGTTGAAATAAATTGAGATACCAAAAACCAGAGTAACATTATCATTTTGGTTTTTTCAAGGCATTAGTAATTTCCAATAAGATGCTAAAATAACGATTAACTCTTAGATTATAGATTTCTATAATCTAAGGATTTAGTTCATTTACATTTTTAATACAATTATAGTCACATTTATAGATTTTGAACCCTCTGTTATGCAGTTTGTGGACAAACAATATAGGAAATTGAAAGAAAATCTATACAGTTAGTAGAAAAATTCAAATATTTAATGATAATTATTCGGAAACAGATGAAATTCACAGACCATATGTAAATACTGTTATCAAAACAATTGCAGTTAAATTACATTTCCTATTTAGAATTTTATTAAAATAATTATATTATTATATTATTTTTTACTAAATTTGAATATTGTGATATTAGTAAACTAGCCAAATAAAGAAAATAAAATAAAAACCGAAAACATACCTGGATCTACAATAATATATACCGGGTGTTCAAATTAAAGTGTTACAATCAAATGCCGCCGAAAATATGCATTTTAGAAAAAAAAGTTTCAGACAAAAGTTTTATAGTTTTTTGGGGGAAATATTTTGGCTAAATTCATTTTTTTGTAGCTGACCATAATATGGCCATATCGAGGTGGACTTTGTTTTTTTAAATAGGAATCCCATTTTTTTCTTACATATTCTTAAAGTACATAAAAAAATAAGAAACTTTTGAGGAAAATATTTTTTTTACTGGACTTTTACTTTTTGAGTAACATCTACTTGAAAATGTTGCTGCGCGAAAAAAAGTTGGCCATATTATGGTTAGCTATAAAAAACGATTTTAGCCAAAAGTTTTTCCCCACAAAACTATAAAACTTTCGTCTGAAAAGTTTTTTTTTTATAAAAAGCGGTATATAGCTGTAACGCTTTAAGTTGAACACCCGGTATAAATAATAAGTACATTGCATCTTTTAAATTATTAAAGTCCATTTAATTAAAATGACACGTCAAACCATAAACGTTAAACTTTCAAAACATACTTGTGTTGTGTTCCAAACAGAAAATACCATTTACAGAATAATTTCCTATAATAAACCTTTCCCCGCACAACACCTCGCCCCTCACCCAGGAACATGGTCAAATTGGGCTAAGCCATTTTACATTCGTCTGCATAGGGAGCGATGTTGCAATTTTTCACTTTAGTGTCTATTCCGTCTGTTCAGATGGCAGCATGTTATGGGCCCTACATTTTTAAATCTTATCACAAGATTCCTGAAATAATTAGGCAAAAATAAAAGAATGTATTTTGCGTTTTAACTTTTAAATACTATAAAAAATGGTGGAAAGTCCATAACTTTTAAATATTTGTTAAATATCACTTATTAAAATATTATGCATTAAAAGTAAAACAAACTATAGACTTTCCACCATTCTTTACAGTATTTTGAACCCATTTTTGAAAACAGTTTTTGAAAATATTGTCGTTCAGAACTGTATTTTTTGTGATAAAAAAGTCGCCGTCACTTGTCATTGACAACGCGTTGAACTTGGCCTTAAGAATATATATATTCTTTAAACTGTGCTAGGCCATGGAGGAAGTATAATTAAGAGTTGCAGATTCCACACAGAAATTTGGCAACATGTTTGCCATCAGCGACATATGGGATAGTTTTATGCAATTAATACTCATTTGGAATATAGAAAGCTGTAATACTATTTTAGTTTAAAAGTTGGCGGGCTTTTGAATTTACTTCAACAAAATATAAGAATTTTACATTTTAACTAGCATTTTTTTAACACGTGTTAAAAAATGCTAATAAAAATGTTAAATTTTATGTTAAATAATTTTAGAGGTGTAAAATAAATAAAACAAAATTATTTTAACTAAATATTATTTGTAGAATCTTTATTGGTTACAACAATAGACATAATATATATTTTCTGAATAAACAACTATTTTAAGTAACACAAAACAATCAAAATTTTTCGTTAACCTTGCAAAATAAAATCAGAGTTCTTGCCATAAATCCTGAAACGAAAAAAAAAACAATCGTTGAAAGCGAAAAACTTCTTAAAACACATTTGCAGCGATTAAACTAATTTTTAATGTACTACTTCTAATTTCTATTATACAGGGTGTTTCCGAACTTGGCGTCCAAATTTGTAGGGGTGGTAGCTCGCATAATTTGAGAGCGATTGGCAGATTTCATTTTTCTAAAAAAATGATAATAAACAAAATAGAGCCATTATAAAAAATCAAAAAGCGGGTCCTACCCTGAGCGCGTAGCGCAATAGTCCCCGGCCGGTATCGAAAGACGTAGCCGATTGTTTTTCTAGTGCGTATTGCTTTGTTGGGTTGTTTATCTCGCGTTCAGAGAATTGATCCCATCGCTGTGCATGACCGTGCCTGTTTAACATTTTTAATTAATTTTTAATTATTTTTATTTTAAATATTTTGGAAAAATGAAATCTGCGAATCGGTCTCAAATTATGCGAACTACCACCCCTACAAATTTGGACGCCAAGTTCGGAAACACCCTGTATAGGTCTAATTAAGATTTTCTTGCTTTATGTAAGGAAAATACTTTAGATTTATCAAGATTAAAAAGCTTGGTTAATACATATAATTAAATTGTTATGTCTAGAGTAATTATTATCAAAATGAATATCATCAGAATTAAGGCTTTGTTAAGGATTTCAATATTTGGGGATAACACAATTACGAATACAAATAATAAGCGCTTATTAATCAATTTTTTTTATAGTGCTGCAACTCCTAAAGGACAAACACACCCTAGGGAACATGTAGCATATAAAGAAGATGAGACAAGCGGTGAGTGGTTTTCAGTGATTTATGTTCTTTGAATTCATTTTGAAATTTTAGATCATTTGTCTTTTATTTACTAGTCATTTACTGCTGTGATATATTTTCAAGTGTATTAAAAAGTTTATATTTATGTAATTTATTCATGTGGTGTCACTTTTAGTTCTCTAAATTTGAAAATCCTTTAAGGAAAATTGCTACATCAAATAGTAAAATTACTTTTAACTCAAAAAAAATTCTGAGCGATCACGAAAAAATTCTAAATGACATTACTGGGAGTTTAGAAAAGATTTACACTGAACTGAAGAATTCAACAAAGCGGGGCCCAGAGTTTGAAAATATTAAAAGAATATTTGATCAAGTACCTGCAACTACTATGGAGGCATTTCACTTAATTGAAAATGAACTAGAAGAAAAACCGGATTTCATAATTTTAGTAGGTATTCCTTTTTTGAAATAGTCATTTATGGTCCATTTTTTTATTAAAAATATTGATAAATGTATTCCTAATTTTTAAATAAACTTAGTTATTTTTTGTTCTTTACAGACAGAAGATCTTAGCCGATTAGGAGGTAGCAGTTATAAAGAATGTGTGCGCCGATTTATGAAAAAGCTCATAAATGATTCAGTTGCAAAACTGTACAGTTTACATGGGCACAAAGAAAAACAATGTTTTTCAAAAACTTCCTCCTTTGGACTAATTATAGGTAAAGTACATTAAATAATCTAAGGATATTAATGAAATTAAATATTTATCCAAAAGGAGTTGTTTTATTTAATTTAATTATTATTTGTAGCTGCTGTACAACAGTGTGTTCCTTCAGCAACAGCTAAAGACATTGAATTAACAATAAGGCAATGGCTGACTAAAGCCCCAGAACGACTAATGAAGATTGAACCAATGGGTGATGATAATAATAATTGAAGTGTATCTGGTATTTTTCTGCTTCGTCAGTAGTTAATTTAGTTGTTTTTTTTTTCTTCAGTTGTCAATACATGACGTTTTAGCTTTGTATTTTTTAAAGTTTTGATTTGTTTATTTCTATAATATATTAATATTATTTTTTACATACGAATTTTATTCAAATTTAGTATATTTTTAGGTTTTAAATGATGTTTACATACAGTAAACCACAGGTAATTTCTATTTCTAAAGGTGAAACTATATTATATCGTTTTTGGAAATCTATTTATGGAGTTACAAAGTGCAAAAAATAAAGGGAATAGGAATACAGGGCGGGTCATTTAAAAAATAAACGGCCATTTTTTGGTTTGCATGTTATGTCAACTAATTTTAAATTGTGTCCTTACATAAACAGATTTCACAATAGTTATTGATATAATATAGTTCATCTCAAGAAATAGAGGTATTATTGTTCTATACTACCTAAAAATATTCTAGATAATAAACCTGCCTAGAATATCCTTTAAACCTACCTAGAATATCATTTTTTGAAGCATCTTGGTTAGGTATTCCTAAGACATTCTGAGAATAATATAAGTATATCCTAGATATTACCAGAATATTTTTTTAGGATTATTCTCAGAATATTTCGTAATGAATATTTTAAAGATAACCTATGAATATCCTAGATATTCCTAGAATATTCCTGAATAATATTCTCAGAATATCTGAGATTTTCCCATTCATATATTCTAAGAATATTCCCGGTGGATTTTGGATATCTAGAGGATAGTCTCAGAGCCATTCATTATTCCAAAAAGCATATTCATGGTATATGCGACGTATATCCAGTGCTATTTGCATACTCGTCGCGCCGAAGAGATGCAGTAATCACTGCATTTCACTTGCACATAAGTCTAAAATGTGTATTTAAAAATGAAAAATATAGAGCAAAAAACTGAATTTTTCTTATTTTATTTACATTTTGCAGGAATTTTTTCCAACTTTGAACTGATTGAAAGGTCTCAGGTTCGAATCCGCCAGTGGCAAGGATTTATATAACCTAAGTAGTTAATGCCGATGACACCAAATCGAACAAAAAAATTACAAATTATGCAAGGTTCATCTCCCACAATAATCTACCAAAACCTGCTACTGGCCTATAACCTGGTCAAATGAGGTTTCTAGGCTAAAAACTTAACACATGTTGGTCCAGCAGTTTTATTGATGCATCGCATCGGCGCAGTATAGTACTTACTTATTACCCAGCTAGCACATAACGTTGCCAAGCCTTTCGGCGATTTTTTAAGGGAACGTAATAACATTACTAAACAACATAAATGTAACGTTCATGAGAAGTTCTTGAGGGAAATCAAAACCTTGCAAATCTTCTATTTGTTGCTTACGTATTTAACCTACCTGTTATGATAACACAACGTAATAAAAAAATTTGATAAAAAAGCATCCACGAGAAATACTGTGAACATCATATTGTTTCGAACGTAGCCATTTGTTTGTCATAAGTCATAACATAACCAGTTTCAGTTTCCAACTACAATAAACAATAAATCATTGTACACGAGAAGATAAAATTAAATGACTGGCTACATTTTACACGATAATAGGGATCTTATCGATGCCTCGATACTATAGAAGTAACGATGTTAAACAATGAAATTACCGATATTTAGGCATTGATACTGAATTGCCAATACTATCGCCGTATCGATACTTAGAAGCAAGTTTGGTATCACTATATGTGTGAGTGTTAGCCCAAGAGCCCACTGCAAATTTTTACCGTCATCTGATAATGAAATGAAATATACCCCAAAAGCATGGAAAAACATTGTACTTCACCAAATTGCATCTGTGCCAATCTCAATCCTGAGCAAACTGGCTTAAAAAAATTATTTTATAATAAAAAAATCACATAAGGCATGACAGCGCTAATTTTGTTTGCCCCTAAAGTTTTCCAGAAAATAACACTGAAATATATCTTGATATATATCGTTAAGGCCAAGTTCAATGACAAGTGACGGCGACTTTTTTATCACAAGAAATACAGCTCTGAACGATAATATTTTCAAAAACTGTTTTCATAAATGGGTTCAAAAAACTGTAAAGAATGATGGAAAGTCTATGGTTTGTTTTACTTTTAATGCATAATATTTGTGATATTTAACAAATATTTAAAAGTTATGGACTTTCCATCATTTTTTATAGTATTTAAAAGTTAAAACGCAAAATACATTCTTTTATTTTTGCCTAATTATTTCAGGATTCTTGTGATAAGATTTAAAAATGTAGGGCCCATAAGATGCTGCCATCTGAACAGACGAAATAGACACTAAAATTGAAAAATTGCAACATCGCTCCCTATGCAGACGAATGTAAAATGGCTTAGCCCAATTTGACCATGTTTCTGTGTGAGGAGCGAGGTGGTGTGCGGGGAAAGGTTGCAAGTAAATAAATTATTCTATAAATGGTATTTTATAGTTTGACGTGTCATTTCATTTTAATGGACTAATAATTTAAAAGATGCAATGTACTTATATTATTTATATATTATATTATTGTAGATCCAGGTATGTTTTTGGTTTTTATTTTATTTTTATTTTCTTTATTTGGCTAGTTTGCTAATATCACAATATTCAAATTTAGTAAAAAATAATGTAATAATATAACAATTATTTTAATAACATTCTAAATAGAAAATGTAATTTAACTGCAATTGTTTTGATAACAGTATTTGCATATGGTCTGTGAATTTCATCTGTTTCCGAATAATTACCCTTAAATATTTGAATTTTTCTACTAACTGTATAGATTTTCTTTCAATTTCCTATATTGTTTATCCACAAACTGCATATAGTTATTACTTATCAGCTTATATTTTATTTTAGGTATTTGTGTTGATTTTTAACAAATGATTTCAACATCATTTATAAACATTTTGCAGAGTTTCATTGACAATTAACTCTTACTAAGTTATCTGAATCCTTACAACTTACAAGAAACATAGATTAGGACATCATAGGCAAACAGGTAAATGTCATATTGATTATTGCGACATCAACGATCATTAATATAAATTAAAAATAACAGGGGACCTAATTTTCTTCCTTTGATGTGGTTAATTTCTTCTGATCAGGACAGCGATTCTTTTGTGCGAACTCGACACATTACATACAGAATAGAGAGAGACATTACATTAAAATCGCTGTCTGTCGAACAAAGATAAGAGTCTCGATAGGAGACGTACTGAAAAATGAGAATCCCACTACATATGTTATTTAATTTTAATCTCTCTGATCTGATACTTAGATAATCTAGATAGATATAAAAACCACCTTTATACCAATACTTTTTAATTTTTTTATCGAATGGTTTTGATCAACAGAATCAAGTTCATTTTAAAGAAATGCAATTAATTTTTAATTGTACATATGGCGGGTTGTACAATAGGCAGTTAAAATGTAGACTTAGTTTAAACTGTGAACCTTGTTGTATACTCATCGGTTATTGTTAAACATAGTTTTAAAAATGACATTTGTTTTTGAATATAACTAGTTAAAAATAAAACTCTTGTTAGTTAAAATATGTTTAGAATATTTTTTGTACAACCTGCTCATAATGTATTTTGTAAAAATCATATATTCTTGTGAAGTTGGAAAGCTTAGGGTTTGATCAGTCGCTATTGAGATTATTTTCATCTTACCTAAATCATCGTTTTAATTATGTCTTTTACAACGGATTTTCATCTTCACCCCTCACAGCAACATCTGGAGTTCCACAGAGCTCCAATCTGGGGCGACTATTATTTGGTATATTTATAAATGACTTGGCAATAAATTTAACCTGCTGTTCGCTGCTGACTTAAAAATATTTACCTTAAACTCATCAATTCAATCGTTAAAAATTGGTGTAATGAAAACAAGCTGTTTATGAATGTGTCTAAATGTAAAGTATGTTCCTATACTAGAAGTAATAACAAGGTGGAGTTTATTTATTTATTTAACAGCCTACCTTTATCGGACTTTTGCACAAATTGAAGATTAAGGTATATTATTCAACCAAAAAGTTACTTTTTCGGATTATATTAAAAATACCGTTGCTTCTGCGTTGAAAAGCTTAGGGTTCTTAATTCGTAATACTCGTTCTTTTACAAACTCTTAAAGCTTGGAGATCCTTACTTTTCTTTAGTTCGTTCCAGGCCAGAATATGCATCTCTTGTCTGGAACCTTATTTACAATATTCATAAAAGATCATTGGAAAATGTTCAGCGGCGATCTCTCAAGTACCTTTCTTTTAAAATAGATGAGCTGTATCCCATTCGAGGTATTTAAGAATCTCTGCTTCTTTCGAAAATAGAAGGGTAGTTTCCAGTGTTACATTTTTTTATAAAATATTACATAACACCATTGATGTACTATTTTTGATAAATTAAATAAATTTTAATGTTCCCCAAACAGCCATTAGATATCATAAAACATTTTATACAGAAAGTATTTGAACGAACTTGGGAAGAAATTCACCTATAACGCTAATGTGTTCAAATTTTTAATAATTTTGTTCTGATTGGGATATTTATTTCGACCATTAGTTGTACTAATTTGTAGCTAATGTATTTAGGATTCTTTCTTTTCTTTTTTTTTTCTTGCTGTTGCTAAAATTATTTTCTGTCGAAATATTATGTTTAACATTTATTTCATGTATTTTGTTCTGTAAATGGATTAATTTGTTGGGCAATAAAATTATTTTTATTTTAATAAGCAAAAAAATGTTTATTTTGATGCACCTACCACCTTTAAAAGTTTGTCAGTACATTAACGAGAAATCCTATATAATTCCGAAAGAAAAATATTTTTGGAATAAATTTCGAATTCTATTTATTGATATTTCTTATTTTTTAGGTTCAATGACTCGAAACATGATGATCAACTACACCAAGAATATCCTTGATACTTAAAAAAAATGGTACGAGATTAAGCAGATTTGATGCTATGTCACATTGTGGTGCGAAGACATGGCTTGTATAAATTTGGGGTATCAGTTGTAGAAAACAGTGCGCAAAAATAAATTTAAATCTGCAGATGCATCAGAGATAGCCATATTCCATACCACAATATGTCATGCGTGAACTCGATGAGATTTCATCGGCTAAGTATCATTCATCTGTAATGTTTTGTATCATTAGGAACACGCAACATTGTAAACAATACCTGGGTTTTCTGACCTTTTCCCTAGGTCAGAGAGAATAAATGAATACTAAATAATGTATAGTAATAAAGATTGAAAATAGATATACTTTTAAGAGTTTAATTATGTCAGCCATAGTTTTATACCAAAAATGAAAATAAACTGAAATTATACATTAAAAATACATTTATAAATAACTATATTTATAACACTCATCGACTCTCTCCTGGCTAAAATATTACTTATCTATCTATTAGGCTCTGCTCTGCCTATTTTTGCCTTTAGCCTCCTTCTGACACTTTCATTCGTTCTTATTCAGTGTAGTATCCACATAGTTTTCAGAATATCAAGTGTTATACCTATCTGATACTTGTTCCTGCAAAGTTCATCTTCAGTACAACTGCTTATGTGACATCTATCTCGATGTCAAGTTTGATTGAACACCCGTTTCTTGCCTATTACTCTTATACTTAACCAGAACTAGCTTAGACTTGAACGCATATGTCTAATTGGGCCAAAACACAGCCTTGGTATACAAATATCTATTTTACCGCTGGTTTCATTACAAAAAACTGGAGTAAAGGGTAAAATTATCTCTTGTTATTAGCCTATATTATTTTTGATTGAAGACGTATACATTTAAAAATGTCGTTTACTTAAAAATAAACATTTAATTTTGATATTTTATTTAACTAGATCAAAACATTAAATTATTATTTTCCATGGCTTATACCGGACCTGTATGTACTCTAGTAGCCATGGAGTAGCTGACAGTGTTGCCGTCAGTTGCCGCCACATATTCACTTGTGACATACGTTTTATAAATTCATCGTGTTACAAATTTGTTGACATAAAGAGATAGAAATTTAAAGTGACGTCTTTTATTACTTCGAATGACAAAAATTGATAATGCAATTTTATAACCTAAAAAAAATCGTGATTATATGTCAAACAAAATTGAACTTGGCCTTAAAGGGAAACATATTCTTTTAACATCGCTCAAAAACATCTATCCACGATTAGCAGGTAAAAATAATTAAAAATATGAATCAATGTTTGCTGATTTAAAACTTTATTTGTATACCTACCTATTGTTGCGATTCATTTTTACAGGTTGCCATAGAAACGACAAAAAAACTACTATGATTATGGTTTAAAATAATTGACTACAAGAGTTTATAATTATTATTGACTATCTCTGCAAATGGTTTATACAATTCCATCCTTCTTCCTTTCATACATAAACATGGTTTAAAAGGTAGGTACAAATATTAATAATTCAGGTTTAAAAGCTAGGTTCACAATGAATTAGAATTGTAATTTTCAGGGAAAACACAATTGTCGCTGTCATGTCTTATATGATTTTTTGAATATAAAATATTTTTTTTAGCCACTGCTCAGGATAGGTATTAGCACAGGTGCATTTTGGTAAAGTACAATGTTACATGCCTTTGGAGCATATTTCATTTCATTATCAGATGACGGTCGAAATTTGCTGTGGGCTCTCATACTAGGCTTAAATATGCGTGAAAATCGTGCAAATAGGACATTCCATTTCAGTATAAAGAAAGATTTATCGAATTTTAATTAGACAAATGCACGTAAATAAAAAAACTGCTAATTTTGCAGATAGAACCTTTCTTGCTAGAACGGCAGTATAGATGTGCTCATGTAGTTCACTAAAAATAAATAACATGTTAATTTGTTACGTTTCAGTAAATTAAGAATGACCTGCTGGACAGTAGTGGCGTTTTGGTGGACAAATACAGCATTTTAGTGGACATATACCTATGCCGTTTTGCTGTACGCTTGCTTTTTAACAAAGTAATTTTTTATAATTTCTCACCATTAATTGTACCTATTTATTTAACAAGCAAAATAAATTAGGAAGGAGTACTTTTTTAAAATTTAAAATAAATATTCTTACAAGAATTTTTTGGTGTCATCGGCGTCGACTACTACGGCCATTAGCCTCGTGTTCTGTGTAGGCTTTGTTACTGTTTCCCAGCGCCACTTTAGGAACAGCACTGTTAATTAGAACCCAACAGTGAATGGTCGTATGGGGAATCCTACCAAGGCATCGGAATTAATTTTAAATAATTAAATTAAATGAAAAAATCCCGGCCAACGGTGGGATTCGATCCTGAAACCTTCCGATCTCAAAGTCATGACTCTAACCACTGAGCCAACCCACCCCCTACAAGAATTGTTAAGTCCATCCTTGCTGTAGAATGAATTCACATTATAACACCTATAAAACGTTTTAGAGCAACTTTCGGAGGAAGTACCGTAAAAGTGCTAGTGTGATGTTTTTACTTTCCTATCTATATACACATATAAGGAAAGTACAGGAATCATGATTTTTATCGATCTCGAGTGTTCGACGGATTTTTACGTTTTGAGGTCCCCTGAATCCGTTTTGACTATTTTCGCAATGATGTCTGTCTGTGTGCCTGTATCCACCATAACTCATGAACCGATACATAGAAAAACACCAAATTTTAAACTTAAGCTTTATTCCAGCGTCCAATGTCGGAACATCTGAGGGAGTACTTTATATGTGATCATTTTTATATTTTATGAAATATATCTGGTATTTACGTTTGGGGAAGAAAATTTTTCAAATAAAAGTTACTTCTAATATTATTATCTATAATTTTTGTTCCATACAAAATTTTTCTAAAATGGTCCGTATTCGAGAAAGTTTTATTTCGGCCTGACGTGAATTGATTAAATTTTGGACAAAGTCGGAACATCTGGGGGGGGGTACTTTATGGGAGGCTGTTTTTATATTTTATGGAATATATTTGTTATTTATGTTTGAAGAAGAAAATTGTTCAAATAAAAGTTACTTCTAATATTATTATCTATAATTTTTGTTTTATGTCAAAATTTCCTGAAATGGTCCGTATTCGCGAAATTTGACAAAATATGCAAAATTCTGATTTTTATGAAAATTGTTGAACTAAAAGTTGTTTGCGATATCGATCTCTATAATTTTTGTTTATACATGATTTTTCTAAAATTGACCGTAATGGAAAAGTTGTAGGAAAAATGCTAAATTTAAATCTTTAAGTATTTTCGTTTTCAATGAATATCTATTGAAAAATGTTTCGAGGTAGATGTATGTGGAAAATGTATATAGTTAGTTTATCCTCTAAACATTTATAGAGGTGCTGCAATAGGTTGTACAAAATAACTAGAAAAAGCCTATAATAACTAGATAGGAAAGTCATGTGTTGGACACATCAGATTTTTTGAACTTCACTTTGTAACATCTATGAGAAGTGCTATAAAAGTCTTGCCGTTGCGGACATTCGGCGGTTATATGGATATTATAATTACATTAAAAGTACATCGCATGCCAGCTTAAAGAGCCTAATATTGCAGCTTATTAACGTAGATGGGATGTTTTTGTGCTAGCTGTGTAGTACCTATATAGATAACTAATATTAATCTGAGTAAAAAAATGATGACAGTGAAGAGGTAACAAATAAATAAAACAAAACACCTAGAAAAAACATATATTTTAAAACGCATATAAATAACATCACATTTATTTTGCATTGCTTGTGTCCACCTAAACATTTTGAGTATTTATTATAGTTTTAACCAATTCGCATGTCGAACATCTTTCCAATGTCGATTTAGAATAAAATATATTTTACAATTATTTACAAATATAATAAATACATAACACAGTCTCAATGAGCATTTTTATATTTTTTTGTTTATTAGATAATTGACCTGTAGTTTCGTAGGTATTTAATTAGGTATATACCTATCAAGTAGGAGAAAGTATTTCTTTGTAAAAGTAACTACCTATGTAAAATATTCTCTCCTAGACACCACCACAGGTAAGCAGAACGGGCACAATTACTTCAATTTGTTAAAAAGAAAACAAACGTAGATAAATAAAAGTTTCAACTCATTTCCTATTATTATTTTTTCAGTTACGCTCTTAGGAAAAAAACCGTCATTGAACCTCCTAACCATTTAGATGAACATTTAATAATTATATTCAATTAGAACTAAAAATAATTATATACATATTCACAACATGTCTAAATATTCATTATCTGTTTTCGTATAATAAGTACGTTTGCTAAATTTTTTAACATTGACCTAACCAGTAATTTTACTACCGGTAATTATCAATGCGGCAGTAACTTAGCGCTTAGCACGTTGTAGGTATTGATGAGCGAGATATCATTCAAATCTTCTTCGCCGTTCGGATTCGGTATTAAACTGGAGGTGACGTACTGCCGATTACAGATACGACACATCAAAATGTCTCAAGTATATGAAAAATGCATTTTACATAGTTCACAATATTTTCCAAAAATACCATCAAACATGTCTAAAGCACATTTTGTTCATTTTGAATTCGTTGAAATATAAAGTACAGTTTCGAAAGTTAATAAGCAATCCAAATGTTTTGGTATTTTTAAAGTAATTTTAAAAAAAATCATTTTAATTCAATGTTATGGGACAACAATATCAAAAATGTTGGTATCTCGATTTACGATAGTTTACTTTTATGTCTCAAAAGTACTTATATATTTTTACACAATTATTCACAATCTTATTAACGCACTGAAATTAGTTTGTATCTTAGCACTACAAAAGCACTTATTCTTAAAATAAATAAAAATATAAAAAGCGCTATCATATCATTATCAAACTGATCGGAACGCACATCAACCATTTCCAAAAATTCCTTGGGATATTTATAGAGACAAAATTTGTCCTCTGGGCATTCGATTGTGTCTCTACTTAAACCGTAGATTGCTCCAACGACTCCTTCTAATCCATACCTCAAGTATGAAACATAGCTACCCCAATTCATGACCGTCGGCAGATCGCACAAACGTACCCCAAATCCAGAGAACATCATCATAGGCACGGTAAGAGTGGGGCCGATGAATGTACCATTCTAAAAGTCAAAATAAAATATATTAGAATAGGTATAGTTATTTTGTCGTCTTCCATTTTTAAAACGAGTAAGAAGTACACGGGCAGCAATATGCAGTTGCAGTTTCGTATTCCAGAGTTTCTTGTAAAATATAATAGGCACGCCTCAACGTACAGCGAGCTGCTGTTGTTGACTACATGTTGATGCGTTTCTATTTTACTCTATATAAAACTATGTTTGCTAAAAGTCGACTGCATAATTCAGTAGACAGCAACCACACATTACGATCTTTCTATTTCCACCTTAAAACACACGGATACAATGGGCGTGTTAAGTATAAACGAATTTACCGAAGCACAAAATGACTATTTGAATATTAAGAGATTAAAAAGAAACCTACTTTTCCTCTATTTTCAGAAAATTGCCAATCTATCAAAATTGGCAACGAACTTTTCGCTCGAATTGGTGACAATAATATTTTAATGAACAGATATACAGATTAAGAAAAAGTTATACGAGCCATAGTGCATAGTCATCACAAGTGCACAGCCATCTCTATACTTTCTGTACAACACCAACGCCGAAGTACCTACCGCCTCTCCTGTATTCGATATTGTTTACTTTTATCAATCATCAAGCAGCAAAATTTTAACTCCTGATCTCTAATTTTAGTACTGTATGAACTGTGATAGGATGAAGTTTTTCCTAATTAAATAAAGATAATATTTACGTAGATTTCTCTGATTGTAAAATTAAACATAATTTGCAAGCAACAAATAATTTATAATTCTACAAATAACTGTTGTGTAGAAATTTATTCATACAAAAAGCTAAAACCAAAAGTGAAATTCTAACAAAATAAGAGGCAATTCTACACAATTACAAAAAAGAATTCTCAAAACTTAAAAATAACTAAAATGACTAACTACTAAACCTAACAAATAGTGAAATGAGGGGTAATATATTAATAATGCCAGATGGCATTCCTATAACGCGAGGTTTATGAAATGACCTGTAAAAAAACTTTTTTATTTTAAAATATTAGTAATATATTATTAAACGTTATTTCATTCGAAAAATAGATGGTTTTTAGGTATGTTTAGTGGTGCCCATTGACGAGGAAAACGTGGCCTTGCCTGGATACCGATATCTGCCACATAAGCCTAATTCCTTTCCTAATGTTTGAATTTAAGAAACTCCTTTCTTTTTTGTAAACAGTGTACGAAAATAATGTAAATTTGTGGAAAATGGAGTAAAAATTGTTATACTCTTTATAGGAAAGTTAAATTATCGGAAATAAGGCAGGAGTATTTTAGTTCATACCTTATTAATTGTTTGTTATGTGAATGTATATTTCATTAAAACAAAATGAGGAAATTTTTATGTTAAATCGTTATTATAGTAACAATAATTAAATATGAAAAGTAGTCTGCATTATTTCCTGCAAAATTGTAATTTTTGAGGAAAATGACATTTAAAAAATAAGGTATTAATTTGATGTTTTGAGATTATGTTTACAGAAGAGTAATAATAAAAAATTATAACTTTGCGACATTTTACGTAAATAAAACATTCCAAAGGTAAATAGTTTTTCTGTTACCATCCCTAAAACAATCTCCAACACATAGGAAGTCCTAATTGAAATAAAATGTTCTACTTACATAAAGTTGTTGAAAAGTTGCCTACCTGTCAAAATTTGTAATTCCTTAATTACCTATAGTATCAGAAGTGATCTTGCAAAATTATTAAATGGATTGATAAATAAAATACAATTTAAATGTTTGTTCGTAAATATATATAATAAAAATTTTCTTACATAAAAAAGTTAGTTGAGGCTTTCAAATTACGATTTACAAATTAATTAAGAAGGTCCTTTCGCCTCCAATGTTAAATAAAAAATATTAGATTATGACTAAAATTAATTTTTTTCTAATAGTAGATGTCCTTATTTATCTAATAGTGAACTTTTAACTATACCTTACCGTGCAAATTTTTGTGAAAAATTTTTTTTAAAAATGTGTGTGTTTGTACAGTGTCTTATGAGAAAGTAAGACTTCAACAACAATTTTCGAATTATGTATTGATTAGATGGAGTAGAAAAAAACTAAAAATAAGGTTTTTGAAATATTTAGGTTTTATTTTTTACAATAAAATATATAGGTTACCGTGGAATTTATTGAGAAATTATTATTTATTTCAAGTAACCTAGTTGAAAATTTTTTGTGATTTTTTAATATTAATTTCTCAATAAGTTCCACGGTTTACTATATATATTTTATTGTATAAAACAAAATCTAAATATTTCAAAAACCTTATTTTTAGTTTTTTTCTACTCCATCTAATCAATAAATAATAGTATAATTCGATAATTGTTGTTGAGGACTTACTTTCTCGTGAGGCACTGTACAAATACACGCATTTAAAAAAAAAATTCTCAAAAATTTGCAAGGTAAGGTATAGTTAAAAGTTCAGTATTAGATAAATAAGGACTTCAACTATTAGAAAAAAAATTAATTTTAGTCATAATCTAATAACTTTTTTTTTAACATTGGAGGCGAGAGGTGTGGCGAAAGGACCTCCTTAAAATCTTACATTTTTGATATTATGCAAATTCATAAATGTGGAAAAGATTTATTATAAGTTTAATAGTAATTTTAATCCAAAAAAATGTTTATATTCAAATAATTTAGCTCTTTCAAAAGTGCCCACCATAATGTGCTCAAATCTATATAATCGTTGGGTTTCCGTCACGATATCGATATAGTATAAATCTTATCCAGTTAGTATTATAGATCTGTGCCTAAAATAATTAAAATATAACAGAAATTATCTCAAATACATACACCAGTTAAAAATTTACTACTTAGTTTTCAATAAGTTTTTCTACAGTTTCAGCCACTTTACCACATCTTCTTTTTAGCCCTTCTTTTAGATCTCTCACTGTAATTGATCCTTATTTATCAATTTTAATTAATTTTTTCTCAAATATATCATTTATACATCATAAAATTAAAAAACGCACACTTAGAGCATATAAGACTAGAAGTGTTACTTAAATGGGTTTGTTATGTACTGAAGAGGGTAACACCTTCGGTGTTAGGTACACGACGCATTATGATTGGTGAGTTAGAAACACGACGATTTATGATTGGCGAATTTAAATAACGCGCGTATTTGTGATAAATTACATTTTATTTGACGTCTTTTTTCGTTTTTAAAAAATAATTTTTTGTGGCTTCCAAAGACAATTTAGACGAGGTGTCTCTATGATAAACTTTTTAAGTGTATTTTTATTATAAAATAAGTGCTATTCATGCCGAAAGCTTGTATAGTTTGCAATAATAAATTCTTAAAATAATCCTGGTTGACGTTTCACAAGTAAGTATTCTATATTCCATAAACGTGACTTAAAATGGGAAATGGGCAAATGAATAATAAAACATGTTTGTAGAATGTTTTTCATTTGAGCATCACCGCAACTGGTTGCGTTCGACAGAAAATAGTTGTTTTCTTTGCGATAATGCTTAATTTATGTCGTTTTGTATAATGTAAAATGGATTAGATATAGTTTTGTATTCTTCATATTTATTCAACTGCCATTAATATTTTAAATCTGTTTTTTTTACTTATTTCAGATTTCCGGCTGATCTCACAACCAAACTGTCAAGTATTTAGTTTGAGCATTAATAGCATTTCTAGCAACACATGTCTGTGTTCAGACCATTTTCAACTGAACATTATTATAAAGGTAGCAATAGATTAATAAAATGATCCATCTCAAAAGCTGTACCTGTACTTTGCTTTAGAAATGAGTAAGTTTTTTTCCAAATAAACTGTAAATAATTGTAATTTGATATTCATATATGTGGCTTTCAAAACACACTTATTTGCTTATTTTGTTAAATACTAAACATATATTGTTATTGTTTACATCATTGTTTACAGGCTTAAAAATAACGAAGGTAAAAAAAATATGCCCTTATCTGCAGTACCCAACATTGGAAATTTCGAAGTTAGAAAAGAAAGATAGAAAGCTATGATTAGCTCTTGTATTTTTAAAAACCAATCAGATGCTGGTAATAATAGCCTTTGGAACTTTTGAAATTAAATTAAATTAAATTAAAAATCTGCAGAATACATTTTATTTGTAGTGACGAAAATTTGCAAGACAGGGAACTTCTATCTTTAAGGTTTATATGGACCCCCGGAAAAAGTATCTACACGTTCAAAATTTTTGAAAAGTGTGAATGTATATACAACCTTAAGTATTATTTTACCAAAATTTGATCCGGTTTGTATCATTTGTTCTCAAGAAAAATCAGAAAATTTACTTTTTTACAAGTATAAAACAAAGAAACTAGACTATCAAGAGAGATCATTATTTCATAAAATAAATTAGTTTTGGTTAAGAAACTTACCTAAATTTTTTGAAAATTTTTGAACTTGCAGAAATGACGTAATTGAAGAATATATTTATTTTATTAACAAAAATTAGATTTATAAAAATGAATGTAATATTAAAGAATATACCTTCAATAATTATATTTAAAGACATTGACCTCAAAACATTAATAAGTTTTTTATAAATTTAGTGAAAAATTCAATTAAACAATAACACTATTTTGAATTTCCTCTTTCTCTGTCTTATCTCTGAGAGGTGCTGCCATCTCAATTAGTACTTTCTAAAATTGCTCACAGAGAGCACTAAATTTCCTACTCAAACAGAAATTTCGGATGTCCGCGTACACCAACGCTACCGTGTTGCCAGATCGAGTTGTATTACTAAGTTCGCTGGATTAAATAAATATTTTTCTATTAATAATTCGGTCGATCCAAACGTACCTATTCATTTTACAGAATATTTGAATTATTTAATTATTAAATGAAAGGTACATTCTGAATGATGCATATGTTTTATCAATTAAAAAAGTTGAACAGATGTTTACCAAATATCAGTATCATGTTAATTGCATAATATGTTGATTAGTTTTTGGTAGAAATTGGATCGTAGGACGATATTT